GGTTAGACTCAAAAACCATCTTCAGAGCATCAATATCAATCCCAACACATCAGCCTCTGCCATCACAGTTTTTAAGGTTAAAGCCACCTGAACAAAATTTGCTGAACCATCATTAACACAAACGTTCAAAACATTTCCAAAAACTTCTTTGATATTCTTTGTAGCTACAGAGGCATTGTTTCCCTTGTTGTGTTCAAACAGCATTACATGCCATATGCATGTCTTGTCATGTGCCATCACTATAAAAGATTTAGAGTATACTAAACTTTACACATTATATAGGCTACACTAAAGTAATGTTTAGGTGGTTCATTTAACTATTATACTTGATGTACGTTTTTTTGGGGGGTGGTTAATGAAAGTGTTCCCAAATGCCACATTAATTTCTTGATGATCCAATACTTCAAATCACAATTTTCCATATCACATTTACGTATTTTCAGCTTCATTTTAAAGGCTTTTATGATGTAAAACATAACAGCAGTTTTACAAAACAGTATTTTACATAACCATTACGTGTCACTAAAGATGATTACACAAATAGTGTACTATTTCAATATATGAATCTCCTTGTAGGAAGGTACTGAATAATATACTACCCTCTTGGGGTGGAGGAAGAATTAAATTTGCCATCATGTTGATTAAGTAGCCAGTGGCAACAATAACTTTGTTGCTAATGTCATATGTTCATTATATGCAGTCTATGCCAAGTTTCTTAGTGGCATAACAACGAAATTCATCATGCATACCATTTTGGGCATGCATGCCTCAGGTTCTCCATCCCTGTATTATTGTATTATAAATATATCAGTACTAAATTTATTATTGTTTTTCTATCTTAATGCTTAAGATTTAGGTAAGTTGTTTTTTTTTACAATTTCACCTTAAAATGTTTTGCATACAATTGCTCCAAAACTCTAACCATTATGGTGTTCAATGGTTTTGATTGTAATTTTTATACATTTCATGAACTTAATGATCTAAAAATAATAATCCTTAGATTTTACTGAAAAGAAGCACTATAAAATGTTTCAAGTAATTGTTACAGCCCCACAGTTTTCATTTTAAATGTCTAAATTAGTTGATTCTTTGTTTGTTTTACAGAGGTTCAGGTTCAGTTAAAAGAAACTGAGGTAATCTTTGGAGCCTACTGTTTCACAGATTTGTTTACCAGAATGTTCACCCAAGCCCACTCACTTTGTAAATGGCAAAAGTCTACAGACTGTACCAGATTTCTCTGTCAATTTTCAAGTGTTCATTTCTTCAGCAGTTGAGTAGGACTAATTCAAAATGAAATCAGATTCCAGACTCTTCACTAGAGGAACATGTAAGGCCTGTTTCATCTCTTAGTTAGATGAAATTACCACTCTGTACTGTCCCAGACTGAGGCTGCAGTTGCCACCAAGTACTAACTTCATATCTACAATCCACATTGTTTCAGGGATCAAATTAACTTCAGTCATGAAAATTTTACTGTATTAAATATGAAAAACTTAATACAATTCCTAATCCACAATATAAATTTTGTCAAGAATGTAAATCTAAAATTTTTATTTATCCACATATGAGAGTTATATATTCAAGAGCAAATTTCCACTTATTTCAATGTGAAGACCATAAATTGTTTTCTAATTTACACATTTTACCTACTCCATAGTGATAATATTTAGTCAAATACTTAAGTGGAACTAAGAAGAAAAACATTTCATTTTATCTCAGTATAATCAGTGTTTAAAGCCAGTAATATTCACTTTGTTTTGTTGTCCACTTAAAATGTTCAATTTCCATAATCTTCATGTATCCACGAGTTATATAAGCTAATCACATCCAGTTTTTTAAAACCTATTACCCTAATCATATAGTAATTTTTAAAGTCACATCAGATGTTCCAAGTAAGAAAATTATTTAAGTACAATGAGTTGTGTTAATTGTAGAGTGCCCTCTTTGGACCAAACAGTTTTGAGACACATCTCCTTGGGATGTACTTAGTTACATTAGCATCTTTGTTACCTCAAATGATACTTCTGGTGAAGAGTACCTTAGTCTAATTTCTATTACTGTTCAGATCCAATTCTCTGCTTGTTAGCCTACTCTAGTTTCTGTTGTTGTTCAGACTCGGTTCTCCAACTGTTAGCCTGCTCTAAGTTTCTATTACTGTTCAGATCCAATTCTCTGCTTGTTAGCCTACTCTAAGTTCTGTTGTTGTTCAGACTCAGTTCTCTAACTGTTAGCCTGCTCTAAGTTTCTGTTGCTGTTCAGACTCAGCTCTGTAATTGTTAGCCTACCCTGGTCTCTGTTGGTGTTCAAACAGTAAGTGTATAATTCGAGTCATACAGAGATACTTCTTCAAATAATACGACAAAAAGGTGCAAATACCAAGATCATTTATAGTGCTAATACCAAATATTACTGTCCACTATTCTTATTCATTCTAAAGCTGAAATAACCTGAGCTTGGCTTGTCCTTTTGCATCAGTAATGCATTCTTTATCTAAGCTAGTTTGGTTGCAACAGAAAAAAAGTACCATTTCATTCAATGTAGGTAATACTTTTTCAACCATATGTTCTTGACAACAAGTAGTACCTTTTTCTCTATCCAAGCTTGAAGTCTATGTCCTCTATATGGTATTTTTAAAGTTTCTTTGTAGATTAGTGACAGTTAAAGTTTACCTACAGATCTGGTGACAGTTGACTAAAACTTATAACTTAAACTTCTATAAGCCAGTCAATCAATACACATACATACATCTTGCGTGTCATGCCAACTTAGCTTGGAAAGATATCAATAATACAAAATATAACTTATCTGTATTATTTTAATTTACATACAATTCAGAAATGTACTTTTAATTTATTTATCATAAACTGCTTTACAATTTAAGTAATAGTCATCTTTCTATTAGAAAAATGAAAACTAAAATTCTTATGTAATTTGTACAGTAACAATGAAATAAACTTTTAAAAAGCTACAACTGTTTTTTTCAAATGTTACAGCAAAATGTAGCAAAACACAAACTACTGTTTTATTAACAAAAATAACACCAACGTGAAAACAGGATCCAAATATAAGAGATTACCTTTTCTCAATGGACTAACTATTTTCATTTCTTGTTGTACTATTTATTACTGACAAGTAATTTGATGAAAGGTTGTAAACCTGAAAATAACAATATAAATGTTCCTTCAGAACACAGCTGACAAGAGGGCACATAAATGCATGCCTTCAGAACACAGCTAACCAGAGGGCATATAAACACACACAGAACAACTTATTTGGTATTTTAGTACACAGATGTAAACTTAACCTAATTTTTTCTATCTACTAAATTTTCCAAGAGCAGTGAATCACTTATGGTGCACAAATCAATCAAGGGCTAACTTAAATCTCCTTAGTTGGCCAAAAATATTACTCAACAAATGTGTCAATATGTTCTAATCACTATCTTTATTTAATATATTGCTTGCTCTTAGTTTAAATTTGTTAAATTATTTACTATGTATATTTTTATTTCTAGTCTAGGATTAAAAATACAGCAATAGCAGTTGACAATGGTACTTACCTTTAACAATGAACTGTGATCAACCTCAAAGGATCTATCAGACAAATGTTGTTGCAGGTACTTACCTTTAATAATGAACTGTGATCAAACTCAAAGGATCTATCAGACAAATGTTGTTGCAGGTACTTACCTTTAATAATAAACTGTGATCAAACTCAAAGGATCTATCAGACAAATGTTGTTGCAGGTACTTACCTTTAATAATAAACTGTGATCAAACTCAAAGGATCTATCAGACAAATGTTGTTGCAGCCAATCCAATTCATCTGCAATGCCTTCAATGTTGACAAAGTAGTCTTTACTAAATGCAAAGCAAAAGAGCTTTTTATAGTTCAGATGTTTACTCTTAAGAATGTGAAACTAATGAACATCAAAATATCTTTAAAGTACATTAGAAGCAGAATTAATAAAATCCGGTATCTATATGGTAGATTTTCTTTCATCAGGAGAACAGTGTGTTGGGAAAAATTTTGTGATTCTAATTTCCACTGTATTTACCTCACCTCTTGAACTAATGGAATAGTTATAGTTAGTCATAACATCAAACATTCAGAAAAATAACACATATATCCATATCGTGATTTTTGCAAGCGCAAACTAAAACTAAGCCAGGCCTCACTTTTTTACAAAGTTAGTATTTCAAATAAAAATTGATGAAGCTTCCATATACACATTTAAAAAGACAAAACTTTCTGTATACAAGGCAATAGAATAGAATATCTTAAAACAACTATAATTTAACTAGCTTTCTCACTGAGCGATAAATAGGTTAAAACTTTCACTTTTCTGCTTGGAGCAGAAAAACACAATTGCAAAAAATGAAACTGAGGCCAAATATCCAATTATAATCACCAAAATAAACTAACTTCCTAATGAATCTTGTACAGAACAGTATGCCCTTTCTAATGGTTATAGGTAATCCAATAGAAAATGTCAGAGAGAATTATTCACATTTTCTAAAAGACATGAGGTAAGAGGGGCATGGTATATGGGTTTGATTTTGTTATTTTTATATCACAGTAAACGAGAAACTTGGAAAGTTGTTCTGGGTTGCCAATATCTATAAGATAAGTGTGTAATTGGTTGGACACTTAGAAGATCATATAAAGGTAGAGAGAAAATATACAATTCCAAGTGCAGATGCATCATGTGATCCAGTAAAGTGAAGACCGGGAATTTATTTAAATATTTTCTTTGGAAATTGAAAGTTAGATAACATAAAACTTTGAAATATAAATTATGTTTTAATTTAAAGCTATTGGCATTTCCACTCTAACCAAACTGTGCACATAGGGTTAATGTACTTCCCAGCTTTATAATGCTTCAAATTTGGAACAGAGCAAATCAAGAAAGTTCTTCCAAGGGATTTTATGGCAGTTGCAATTTATTGCTTGTGGTAAGTTAAACAGCTAGAAAATTGAGAAAAATGCCGAAGAAAGTTATTTAAAAATGAAAATATACCAGTTACTGTACAAGATATAATAATAATATTTAGGTTAATGTACATGAGTGATATACTTTACTATGATATTAACAATAGCAAGATATAATAATAATTTCCATGTTTCTGCATAGTGAAATCTAATAGGAAAATAAATTTCAAAAGTTTAAATCATACATACACATCTTTATTAATATCACATTCATTCCACACCTGTTCTTCTTCATCAATTTCAGGTTTCGATGCGAAAGAAGATTTATTAATGGCTGGCATCAATTGATCAGAAGAAACAAGATCCTGAAGGACTGAAGAATGGGAGGGGCTTCTGGTAAAAGTTGGAAAAATTTCTTGTTCTTTCTTGATAGAAGTTAAACATAAAGGTGAAGTATCTGAAAATCTACCCACAATGGAGGAAGGGTCTTGATTATTAGGTATGAGACCATCACTAATTACACCGGTGCTTTCACACGAAACTGGAGAATTTCTGAAAAAATTCAGAAACTTCTATATTATGTTTTAATAAGTTACTTAAAAATATATTTTTCACACAACTAAGGCTTGTGCACATGAAAGTTTTTCTGAAGATATCTCTGTAAATTTTTTCTAAATAAACTTTATAGACTTCTTAGAAACTCCTAGATAACAGTTTAAAAACAATAAATGATTAAACAGGAAATACGTGCATTATTTTCTTTTTATGAAATATTAAATATGCTCAGTTCTTCAAATTTACAAATATTATTACTTATTTGCAAAAAAAAGATCATACTTTTTATTTCTTAAAATCAACTATGTTCTAGCCATTAAAAACACAGTTACAAGTTGTCTTAATGATAAATTTATTCATCACTAATATATATTGCCTAAATAAAATAAACATATATATTTTAATGGTCATTTTTTTCACATAAAACCACTCAGCATAAGTGTTCAATGCATTCAAATCCAATGTATTAATGATTAGAGCAAAAACTATCTACTTATCTTACAAAAACCACTTATTAATATTAAATACAAGGACTGACAAAAAAAATTAAATGCATATCCATGAATATTTAGTATGTAGTTGTTTGGCCATCATAAAAGCAGGGTTTCATTTAGTTTCATAATGAAGAAGCAAGGTGATGGTAGGTTTCAACATGAATATTTAGTATGTAGTTGTTTGGCCATCATAAAAGCAGGGTTTCATTTAGTTTCATAATGAAGAAGCAAGGTGATGGTAGGTTTCAACATGAATATTACAACCTTCTTCAATAAGAACTATTTATAATTCCTTCAGTGATGCTAAAACTGGTTTCAAGAATATTCCAAAATGTTTTTATTTTTTTAATATGATGGTCATATAAACTAAGTTTTTTCATACTTTACAAATCAAGATATGATAATTTTTGTAGTTTGAATAAGATCATTTTCATGTGGAAACGCACTACCACCAGTTAATAAAAGTGCTTCAATGTATAATGAGCCAGTTTCCTATCACATTCTTATAACAATGACCAGCTGTTGTTCTGTCATTTAATGCAGTTACTGGACCAAGTTCATGGCAAAAAAATTTGGCCAACCATATAAAGGAATTATCTACACCCTTTACTTTTGAAGGCCTTCTAGGCTGTTTCCACAAATCTAATGGGTAGGGAAAAGAAAGAAAGTTTATTAATCTAACCAGATTCACTTCTTCTAGAGCTCACAGTGCTACACTTCGTAGTCACTACAAAACTGATATCACAAGTAGCAAGCGTGGTATCCCAATTTATGGACATCAAATTTCATGATTTGGAGAAAAATGCAATTTCATGGTTTCTTAATTTTGTGGTCCCCCTAAATTACTTAATTTGATGTACAAATGTTACACTAATACACACTCACAAACAATGTGATCAAAGGTTTATACCCATGCTGAATTATTTTTAATCTATGCTTTAAAATCTACTTATAAAAAGATGGGAATTAAGATTTGGTCATTCACAAAATCATAAAAGTACTTCAGACTGATAACCTACATCTTAAAAAGGTGACTGCTCTCAGATAACCTAATCCAAGTTAACATTTTCTTAAACTGAAAATGTATTTCAAGTAATACCTCCACTGACACCATGGCTATTTCTTGATCTCCTGGGTGTCCACTCTTTGCTCATCTAAACATTCAAAACACTTGCTGCAGTCTTTTATACCCCACTCAAATGCCCTTTACAAATTCTAATTTACAAAATTCTCCACCAACTTCAATGTGCCCTCTATCTAGGTGCTGTATACAAGCACCTCATTCAGGTAATGTAATCCAGACATAAACCCGGCTTTTAGTGGGGAGGTAAGGCGGGAGAGCGTCATCGGAGGTAAGTATTATTGAAAATACATTTTCAGTTTAGGAAACAAAACACGCTTACCTCCACTGACACTATAGCTAGAATCCCACATCAAACAGGTGGAGGGGCCAGTGCAGGCATGAACCACACAGAAAGCATCTGTATATAACAGGAGTGTACCAAGATAAAGATGGTACAAGAGTGGAGGAACTGCACTACATCAAGAACAGGTATGCTCATCACCAGGAACTTAGTTCCTATATCAAAAGTGGAATAGAAAATGAGTAATCATCAATATAGGGATAGAACTCATCTCATCTGGAAATATGAACATTCATCCTCACTCCCCAACCAAGTGGGCAAGGAGTATTCTGCTTACCCATGGAATTATGTGCTCAACCAAGGACATAGTAGGATGGGACCACTTTGAGTTTGGAATTATGAAAAGATAGTGGACCTCCTTCCATGAACAATATAGGAAACCGACACTGATCAAAGACATGGGTCATGCACCCCTGAACCAGATAGCTTCATGTCAAATCTCAACCATAATTACAAGTAGGTTGGTGCCACTCTAGGAAAAACATCCAGGGACCCAAGTAGGAGGTCCCCCAATTTCACCCTCTTCTCCAAGAGTGGAGGAACACACTTTAACACTCTAGAATAAAAGCCTATCTGCCACCCCAGCAACTGGAACTTGGAAGTAGTAAGGACTCCCAAGTTCCACTAGTAAGGTCTGGGGGGGGGGGGGGTAATACGTGTTGAGGAGTCCTGAGGAACAGTGCTCTGAAAACTGTGCAATATGTGAACCAAGTTCCCTACATTTTTAAAAGGAAACTGACCCCGATTTATTCAACTTGAAGATCAGCAGGGATAGGCAGCATCCCCTTTAGCTTTACTCATGATAGTCCATGATTGGTGGTCCATAATGCTAAAATAATAACATCTGGTAGGTGCCTTGACGGTCATATGGAACACCCTATTTCAACAGAGCCTGTCGCAACCTGTAGTAATTATAGTGAAAGTGTTTGTTGGTGTGGAATTAAAAAGAGAAAGCATACCTGTCTGGGCAACACTCGCTACAGAGTGGATGCAGTGAAAAATAAAGGGACACTGGAGATAAAAAAGTATATGATTGTGGAAAATACCTCTGGTTAAAATCTAACAGGGTAGTTGAAAACTCCCAGAAGAGGAAACTGCCAGATCATGTAAGTAATGAGATAGGAAAATAGTAGGAGTAGTCCACATGCCAACCCACACAATGTCTTCCAGAGGACAATTAAACCGGGCAGCTAATGACAGACATATGACGAATCTGGTGAGATGTGACACGCTAAAGATTCCTCCATTGTAATGATAATCCGTTATAGGCCATTTGAATCAATTTACAAAGCCATCTCTTTAGATTAATGAGAATAAGTCACGGAAATAGAAGGATTCCAATGAATGAACAGTCAATTCCTACTTCCTCAAAATGAGTTAGTATGAGCCACATAACACTTGCGGGCCCTTGCAGGACATAACAAACGATGAAGATCAGAGTGGTCATAATAGTGAGAAATGGCTGGCAAATGGATTGGTGAGAAGGATCTTTCCTCTTCACTAGCTGCCAGTCTTGGGAAGAAAAGTCCTATCAGGGTAAAGCAGGACAAATGTGGAATGATATAGAGTCCAATGCACATGCATTGGAAACAACTCCAACCGATGATGTACACAAACCAACAACAAAAAATACAATTTAAGAGAAAGGTGAAACAAAAAACACAAAGCTAAGGGCTCAAAGGGTGGGTGAGACAATGCATGCAAAACAACTGTAAAATCCCAATTCAGTAATTGAAAAGTTCATTTAGGTCGAAGAATACGAAAGGATTTGAGTAGACCTGATAATACTGAGGATTCAAAACCTTCCAATATTTGGAATACGGAAAAATAATGGATAAGGATGCCTTATATAAAGCCACCATATACAAAGCAAGACTGTTCTCAAATACCAAAGTCAAAAAATGGGATATGGTAGATGAAGAGGGTTTAAATTCCTTTTAATACACCACTGACAATAAGTATTCCATTTCTGTTGATAAATGGCCATGGTTGGCCTATGGAGAGATTTAGTTAAATACAGAGAAACCTTAGAAGTTAAACCCTTTTGTTGGGTAAAACATAACTTCCAAGCATGAAGATTGAGTTTCCAAACATCTGAGCAGAAAATGTCTGATCGAGGTTGTCTCAACAGAAACTGCCAATGTGAAAGAGATAGAGGTGGACATTCCTGCAGATACCTAAGAAGCAGAAACCATGTTTGAGCTGGCAAATATGGTACAACCAGGAGAACCCGACAGGAAGTGGAACGAATCATAGTCAGAACCTGGGGCAATAGCTGAATTGGGGGAAAGGCATATAGATGTAGACCTGTCCAGTCCTGACTAAATGCATGTACTGCCAATGCTTCAGGATGAGGTATCGGAGACCAAAACAATTTTAGATGAGAATTCCAATGAGTCACAAAGGTATCAATCATTGGAGACCCTAACTGAGAGCAAATCCACTGAAAAACCTTGTGATGTAGCATCCTTTCTATTGGAAGAATCTGGTTGATCGAGACAAGTGATCTGCAATTAAACTCATCATTCCTGGAACATGACATGCTAAAAGACTGATACGATGGGAATGAGCCCAGTAGAGAAGATCCAAGGTACAAAAACAAAGATCTAGAGAATGTGTGCCTCCTTGACAAGAAATCTGAGATACCACTGTGGAATTGTAGGAATGTATCATGACAATTTTTCACTTCAAAAGAGATAGACCTTGAACCATTGCCCAGTGTACTGTAAGGAGTTCGAGAACATCCAAATACCCTGGAACTCCTGACCTTGAAGATAAGCTCCCAACCACCATTTGCAATCTATGATGTTGCTCCTGAGCAATGAGACAGGATGATCCAAAGAATCAGAACGCTTGATCCATTGGTTGTGCAGTGACCACTGAAGGGACCTCATGTGCTCATCCCAAAGGAACAAGAGGCTTAAGAGATGCCCACATCTCCAAACGAGAGAGAACCACCTACGCAGTAGGAGAAGGAGACGTAAGTAAAAGCCTAACAACTCTTTCCATGGCTTGAAGCCTGATAGAGGTTGGTTGAGTGTGACTTAAGTGAGTATTGAAAAACACACCAAGACAGATA